TTTAACTGATTCCTATAGAGCATTTGCCATGTAACTTGTTGGTTAATGAACATTAGTCAAGACTGTGAGAATACCAAAGAAGTAAAAAGGGTTTTAAAAGCAACATCTGGTCTTTACTGAGTTTCTTAAAATAGACTTTCCTAATGTGTTTCAGTAGCTAAGATAATCACTAAGTATAACCAATACATTCCTTAAGATCTTCTGAATCATTTCTTCATTTAGGATGTATATAATTGGAATGGCATAATTCAGGAGCATTTTAGCAATGCATATCATTTATTTAAATACTGTTTCTGAACAAAACTAAGAACTCTGGAAAAGAAATGACAAGGTTTACCAACTGTGTATCCAGCCAACTTATATAAACAGACCTGCCACATTTGGTGCCATGCAAAACACTTTCAAAGTATTGGCTTAGGTAATAGAATGTTCACAAGCAGGTATATACAGCTGTAGTTATCAAATGTTTTCTAATACAGTAGTTTATGCAGCAAGACCAAATCATAAACAGTAATTAGTGAAAACTAAATTTGACTTGATGTGTATATTTTAAATTTAGGCAATCTTCTAAAAAATATAAATGGCAAAAAATATAGTGCTACTAATTTATACAAATGAACTAGAAACCAGCACTACTGGCATGGTGGCACAGCTGTTTCCTTCAGATAAACATCAGATTTTAAGAAGAAGGAACATCAGGAACTAAGGGTTCTGTTTAAACCTATAATAGCTACTCAGGAAAGGGGGATGTAGGCTCCAAAATAAAGTGTTATCAGTTCTTCATGCAAGAGCAGTATACTAAAGTAGGGAAGTTTGTGTTGATCGTGACTGGTAAAAGCTGAGGGAAAAAAAAAAAAGATTCACAGACAAACAGAATTTCTAAGGCATCACTTCTTGGAATTTACCAAATAATACATACAAAAACCTACACACAGATGTTTGTTGTCATTTTCTTCATAGCTGCCAAGGCTTGAAAGCAACCACCTCATCCCTGGAAACAGTGTCTCACTAATGTAGCCCTGGCTAGCCTGAAACTCCCTGTGCCTGGCCTCAAATTGAGAGAGATTCACCTGCTTTCTGCCTTCCCAGTGCTATGATTAAAGGCCTGGGCCACCTTGCCTAGT